ATAACGGTTTGAATCAGATTTAATTCAATTTTTGGATAATATATAAAATTTTAAAATTTAGATCTTATTTAATTCGAATTGAATTTTTATATAATTCAATTTGATTTGAACCAAATTATATTGGTTCATTTCAATTCATCGATTTTTAAATTTTTTTATATATTATTTTAATATGTTTTTTAATATATTTAAATATATTTAAGTATAAAATAATTATTTTATTTTATAAATTTTAAAATATATAAAAAATAATAAAAATATATAATTCGATTTGTTTTTTTAAATTTTTAATTTTTTATCAAAATTTAATCTAAATTTAAAACATATATTTAGTATCCGAATTTAATTCGAATTGAATATAATTGAATAATTTTTATTTTTCTTAAAATTTTTTCTCGCAATTTCTTTTATTAAAAAAAAAAAGAAGAAAAATGTCATGTGGATCCATGTGAAGATGCAGCCTCAGTTGTAACCCAACATGTTTCTTTTTTCAATTGATAACAAGGCATATTGCTTGAATACGAAACATTCATTTTCTCTCAAAGGGAACATGTTTTGACCTTTTATTTTACGTAAGAAACATGTGCTATGTGAAAATTCTATAAACATTTCATTATTTTCCATACACGTTAACTTATTTCCCACTCATGATTCTCAAATTCAACAGTGACATTGACACAATTTTTGCTGCCTTTTTTCACACATAAAAGCAACTTTTCTCCCTTCTTCTATGGCTCATTCATGAATCATGCAAAATTTTTTGTGCAAAAGCATATGAGAGAGTTGAAAATTAATTAAAATTTTATACATTGATTTTCCTTTGGCAGCTGGATCTTGTTCATGCTTAGCCCATCACTGATCTATCATATTAGTCAACAACACAACATGTAATTAAGGCTCCTATTAAAAAATCCAAAATAAAATTTGGAGCAATAATGTTGAAGATAACTTTTTTTTTTTTCCTTAATGATTAAGCTACACCATGAAAATTAAAGGATTTTACGATTCGGTCGGTTCAAACAAATTTATTTATATCGGATTTAATGAATTTATGAAAATTTACTTTTCTATAATTTTTCAGTGGATTCAAACTTAAGATTCATGTGGATGGGAAGTAAAATTAATTTCAATAAAATTAAAAATAATAATAAAAATTTTCGTAACTATGATTGAAAAAAAAATACTGTTATTATGATTAAAAAAATTAATAAAAAATTTATATTATAAAAATTTCATTAAAATTAATATTTAAATTCAACTAATACTGATTGAAGCTTAATTGTACCTCATTGAAACATAAGCTTAAATGACAAAAATTTTAGCTATTATATAATCTGTGGATAGAATACTAAATTTTTAATTTTACTGATCAAAGTTCAATTTAAATAATTAGTAAGCTATAACATGAAAATAAAAGGATCTTATCACTCGATCAATCCAAACAAATTTATTTACATTTGATTTAATGAATTTATGAAAAATTATCTTCTTATATATTTTTAACATATTTGAACTTAAACAATAAAGATTTTAATTATCATATAATTTATTGATAGAATATTAAAATTTTAATTTTTATTATTAAAATTCAATTTAGATAATGTTATTAAATAAGTAAGATTGGAGTTATTTAATTGTGATATTATTAGCAAATAAAAGTGGGATAGTGTCCCTGTTAAATGGACATCCAATGTTGGCCCTTTGAAATCAAATAGCAAAAAATATTAAAAGACTATTTAAAAATGGTCCCCAATCATAAAAGGTCTCAATCAATACTATTTAAAAAAAAAAAGTTAAGGGCATGTCCTATTCTATTTGTCTATTTTGTTAACCATGTCTATTAATAGATAAGACACTCCACCCTTCCAATTAATTTACCATTCAAGTAGCAATTTTACAAAATGTTCAAAACAACAATCAGCTAAATCCTGAAAGGATCACAATATTTTAAAGTTAAACTTAATTTCTAGGATCCCAATCTTTAATTCTTTGATGGTAATTTTGAATTATGTGCTTTCGAATTTTTTTTTTAATTCGATCGTTAAGTTCGATAATTTACGTATTTATATAATATATATTTTATGTAAGATATGTGCAAAATAAAAAATTATTATGTCATAATTTATATTAAAATAAAAAATGTTTTTTTTTTATTTTTATTAAATTTATATATAATTTTTATTAAAATTTTAAATTATATTATTTTCGTATCATATTTAAAATTAACAAATCTACTTAAGATTTAACTCTTAATTGGTTCATATAACTTCAAATAAGAGATAATGGTTAACTAATTTAAAATTTAAATCATAACACATAATTTATTCTTATTTTCAAATTACAGTTACATTTATACAAATTTTTTTCTTAAAATAAAATTTTATATTAAATTCAAAATTTATTTTAATTAATTTATACACTCATTTTTAATAATTAAAAAAGTGACATTTAATAAATTTATAATTTTTTATAAAAAAATAAAATTTCATGTTCTTTATAGCCTAGAAATTAAATGTCATGGTAATTAATTAATTAATTTTGTTTATACTTTTCAAATGAATTTGACCTTAGCTATGATTAGTTACGAACTCAGAATCAAAAGCAACCTATTTAAAATTAATAGTAAAAAATTACTAAAGGAAAGGGACAGCAAAATGTACAGAAGAATGACCCTTCAAATCAACTAGGGCTGCCGACAATCCTAGAAACCAAATGTACTAATATCTTAAAATTTCACATTTATTTTTTTTATTATTTTCAAATATATATTATTGATGTTTGATCGAACTTAGATCTGACAATATGCCAATATTTTAGGATAGTGTCATACAAAATCATCAAATCAATTAATTTTTTGAATTTGAGTTTGATTTTATATTTTAAAAAATAAAATTTTGAAACTTTACATTTAAGATTTATTGAAATCAAATTTTAATTTAATTTATTTATATAATTATTTTAGAAAAATAATATTTAATAAAAATAAAATTAAAATTTTAATATTTACGATCTCAAACTATGATTATTTTTATAAATATTTGATCAAGATAAATTTTCATATTTAAAAATTGACTAGTCAAATAAATATTTTATTTGGATTTTGTTGTATATCCCACCGATAATCATTATCAAACTCAATATTTTTTATATTTAAAATTATAAAAAAGATTAAATTTTAATCATTAAAATAAAAAATTTAACATCCGAACAATTAGATTATTTTAATAAAAAAATATATTTTATATTTTTTATGTTAATATAAATTATGATATATAATTTTTATATTTTATATTATATAAATACACGAATCATTAAATTTATTTATATATTATTTTTTATCTTAAAATATGATATCTCGTGTATGTTAAAAAATATTTTTTGATTAAAATAATTTTTCATATTAAAAAACAACTTGCAAAATAAATATTTTTTTTGGATTTTGTTGTATATCCCATTTGATAATCATTATCAAATTAAATATTTTTTATATTTAATATTATAAAAAATTAAATTCAAATAATTAAAATTAAAATTTAACATCATAACAATAAAAATATCAATCAAACAAAACATAACCATTAACGAAACGAATTGGAAATAAAAAAAAAAAAAATGACGTCCAATTATGCCTTAAAACTTAGGATTCTTTTTGAAAATAGATGATAATGGAAAATAAAAAGGAAGATCCTCGAGTTGTTGCATTTAATAGGAATCGATCCTTTGGCCTTTGCTCCTTTACTCACGAGTTTCTTCTGCTACGCAAAATTGAAGACGATGGCTCCAATTTTTTATTTTTTATTTTTACTGAAAAGGGCAAATCTTATTCCTTATCCTTATCTCATGCCTCGATAAAAAATAATATAATAATAATAATATGTTGCCATCTTTTCCTTTTGTTTAACGCGTTTCCGCAATTGAGCTGGTCCCCACCAATGAAATTATTTTTTCCTTTATTTATTTTTGAAAAAAAAAAATCTTTTAGGGGTATGTTTGTTTTCCGTAAAGTTAGAATTTTTTTTTTCCGAAAAAGTGATTTCTCTAAGCACTTTACTTAACAGAGTTCGAAAGATGTTAGATTTATATATTTGGTTTAATTATAAAAATATAAATTTTTTATATTTAATTAAAAAAATAAATTATTAATAATGAAAAAATAACATTAGGCTCAAATTGTTAGAAATTTTTTGAGTAGAGTAAAATTTTTTATTTAGGGAAAGTTTTAAAATAAAACAATAAAATGAGATTATGAAAAATAAAATTTGGATAAAGAATCTTACTTTTTGCAAATCAAACATCCTTGAACGATTTTTATCATAATTTTCAATATATATATTTATGAATTATGTAAAATTATCGTGTCTTTAATTTATATTGATAATTTCAAAAATAATATGATATATAATATAAAAATAATAAAAAATATAAAATTAATATAAATTAAAATTTTAATAAAAATTATATATTAATTTGATATAATTTTATATTTTACGCATATTCGACATAAAATAATATGATAAAAAAATATGAATTATCAAATTATATTTTATGAATTTTTATATGATTTTTTAAAAATTTTTTGTAGTAAATAATATTATGAGCCAGCAATTGTGAGAGATACCTATCAATCCCTAAGAAATAGAATCCAAATTTATAAGCAAATTAAAAAAATATTTATTCCTTATTTTTGCCAAAAATAACTAATTTGGAGATTTTGAGTAAGATAAGATTTTTTTCGACAAAGAATCAATCCCTAACAAAAACAAAGGTATCCGTTTGGATACGCTTTTCAAATAGGATTATCTCATCCTGACATCATAATTACTTCATAATAATATCCAAAAAATAAGATAAATAATCTTCATCATCAATAATCAAGTATAAATAAAAAATGAAAAATTAGCATTTTTTATAATTATTTTTTACTGCTTGAGATTAATAGGAAAGTTATTAAAGAAAGTGAAAATATAATTAAATAAATAAAAAAAAATGAGTTTGAAAAAGGGAAAAATTTTAGTAAGAGAGGAGTTTCAAACTTGCAAGACTCCTTCCTCTCTCTCTTTTTCTCTTTTATATTTTTTGCTTTCACTTCTTCACCTTAGGCAGCTCTTTTGATTCTATCTGATCCCTTCTTTTCCGGTATTGGCGTTGACGAACTCTGGCTCTTGCATTTGGTTTGAGTAAGTTTTGATTTTTTTTTTGTTGTCATTGTTCATTGTTAAGATCTGATTTTTTGAAAGAAAAATGGTTTTTTAAAGTGTAATTTAGATCTAAATTTTGGATTTTTTTAGTTATTTGAGAGCGACAATGGCGGCCGACGGGATGACGGTGGTGCATGCGGCGGAGGAGGAGGTGGCGGCATCGTCTTCATCCAAGGTTGAGATTGTTGTGGAGGAAAAGGAGCAGGAGAAGGAAAAGGAAGATCTTTCCAATGGCGTCAATGGGAGGATTGTTAAGGTAGACACTGACGGTGACGGTGACGGTGATGGTGATGGTTCGTACGTTTTCGTTAACGGAAACGACGTCGTTAATGGCGATCCGGTGGAGTCGGATCTTGAGAAAAACGGCAATGGCGTTGGTGGACACGATCGGGTAATTGAGAATTTGGAGACTGAAGGAGGAGTGAAATCTGAATCTGATTCGGTTAAGGATTTGGAAGGAGAGGTTGAATCTTGTATTGGAATTGTGGATCAGGACAAGGAATCAATGGAATTGTGCCACGTGAAGGGTCCTGTTGATGAACAAAAAACAGGGGATCTTGTTGAGAGTGGTCCTGTTTCTGCTATAAATGCTGAAGATGGTGTTTCAGTAACTTCCACCCTTGATCAGAATGGAGTCTCTGAATCGCCTGGAGATGTTTCTGATAGTAATGGAGTTGGTTTGCCTAATGCTATCGCTGAACACACTGTTTCTGAAGTTGCTGTTGTTGATTCCAGTGCTGAAAAGAGTGATAAGGTTTCTTTGATCTCTGTGTCTGATAGTAATGAAGGTAGTTTAGCTAATGACTGTGTCGAAGACAATGTAGTCGATTCCAGGTCAACAGATAATGAGGACTCTGAAATTTCTGTAGCTGATGATGTTGGTTGCAATGGAGATGGTTTAGCTAATGATAGTGCTGAGGAAAATGTCGTTGTTTCCAGGTCAAAAGAGAATGGGGACTCTGAGATGGCTTTCGCTGATTGTGGTGATTGCAATGGAGATGGTTTACGTAATGATAGTGTTGAAGACAACGTTGTCGATTCCAAGTCAAAAGAGAATGAGGCCTCTGAGATGGCTGTAGTTTATGATGGTGATTGCAATGGAGATGGTTTAGCTGATTCCAAGTCAAAAGAGAATGAGGACTCTGAGATGGCTGTAGCTGATGATGGTGATTGCAATGGCAATGTTTTAGCTAATGGTAATGCTATGGACACTGTTTCTGAAGGTGCTGTTGATACCAGGAATGAACATAATGGGGTTTTTGAATTGCCTGTATCTGATGATGGGGTTCCTATTGTCTCAGTCTCTGACAGCAGCGGGGATGGTTTACCTGACGCTGGGGCCAAGGACAATGTTTCAGAAGCTGTAGTCTTTGATTCCGCGGCTGAACGGAATGATGTTGTTTCTGTCTCTGTCTCTGATAGTAATGGGGATAGTTTACCTGCTGATACTGTGGAAGATACTGTTTCGGAAGTTTCCAAGCCTGAAGAGAATGAGTCCTCTAACAGAGTTGAAGTTGAAGCTGAAGCTGATTCTCATTGTCCTGTCTCTACTGGTGATGGAGACAGGCCTGAACAAAATGGCTTCTCTGAAATGTCTGGAACAGTGCATCCAGATGTTGTATCTGGCGATGAATTGATTAATGGTGGCGAAAATTTAATAGCTGTGAATGAGGTTCCTGTGGAAGGTGGGTTGGAGTTGGAACATAATTCTGGACGCGATTTATCGTCGGGGGCTGATACTCATTTAGAAAAGGAAACTGGCATGGATTCTATCTCCGATGAATGTGGAGAGTCCTTGCAGGATGTTCACGCTCAGGATGGCATTTCAGGGACAGTTGTGATTGACGACTCAGTTGATTCAAGTCAAAGCTCACAACAAGGTCAGTCTTCTGAAATAGTGGAAAGCACTGCCTCCCTTATTACAAATGAGAATGAAAATGTAACTGTTGAAAGGGTTGTTTGTGATACAACAACTGATTCAAATATCGACACTGGGGCTTCTGCTGATGTTGTGGAAAGCTCACCCTCCAAAGTTACACTCAAGAATGTTACTGTTGAAAGTACCGTTAGTGATACTACTTCTGAGACTTTACTGCCATCTCCTGTTGCTGATGAGAAAGTAGAAACTGAAGTCATTAAGTCAGATGAGAATAGCAGAGGGGGTTCAGATTCCCTAAATATTGAGAATTCAGAGGTAGATATCGAGGCTGAGAGTGGTTCTGTTGATGATGATTCTAAGTCAAGTTGCTCGGCCAATGGTTTGAAATCAGACACAAAAATTAGTTCTGATTCAATAGTCTTTGAAAAGGCTCAGGTTCCAGAAGGGCTTGCTGAATGTGATAGCATTGAGCCCGTCACTGTGGGTGATACAGATGAAAAATTGGCTGTGGCTAATGTTCAAAATGATAGTAGCTTGGCTGCTTCTCTAAGTAATGATGAGAAAGCACCTGCTGCAGTTGAAAATTTGTCTGCTGTGAGTAACCGCGAGATTTCTGGCAACAATGGCTTTGCACATGAATCTGGAGCATCAAATTGTGATATTAACGATAATGAACGAACCTATACTGTCATAAAGGGAGGAATTCAGTTTGGTAGTGTTGTTACATGTCAAGAACCAGAAGGCCTTGATGAGGTTGAAAGCAAAAGGCCATTTTACTTCTTGATCAGGGTCCCAAGATATGATGGTGAAAATTTAAAAGAAAAAGTCAGACTTGCTCAGATTAAAGTTGATGAGAAAACTCAAAGTCGGGATGCAATTCGAATTGAAATGCAAAGCAAGAGGGTAAGGATCTTTATGAAATTCTTTTGTAATATTGCTGAAAAACATTCATATGCGTGTTTCTTTTCTTATGGTTGATAAAATGCTCCAAAAATAGGCTACTTGCAAGGAATACGGGGATAATTTTGATGCTGCCATATCCCAAGAGAGAGCAGCACGAGACTTGCTTAGGTCTAAACGCCAGGAAATAGAGTCTATCCAATCTGTGATGAACATTGAGGATATTGATGCCAAGGTAAGTACCTTTTTTTACGCCTTTTAGGGTATATGTTTTGGTTATGATATGATTATTTGTTCTAATTATATCACCTTTAAGCAGATACGAAACATGGAACACATGATACAGCATGAAACCCTGCCTCTTAAGGATGAAAAGCAGTTCATTCGTGAAATCAAGCAATTAAAGCAAACTCGTGATCGGCTCTCTTCTAATATGAGTAGACAGGATGAAGGTCAGCAGGGTTTGGACCAGAAAAGCCAAATTGAAGAGCGCCTGAAGGTAGTAATTTCATTTTGCTCTTCTTGTTCCTGGCTTTACCCTTTTATCTTTTCCTACTTTTATTTTCCTACTGGTTAGCACATTCTATGATTATAGATCCACTTAGTATCGTACATCAAAGTTGTGAAGAATTAGAGATGAAACTAGGGATTCTTTTCATAGCTTAATGTCTTTGATAATAACTAAAGTTGGATGATATCCACTTTGTTAGTTGTTGGAACCATTCATCCTTATTTTGTTGTGTTAATACTGTTTTTGATTGCTTATTCAATTCTTCTGCATCTACAGTCTTTAAAGAAGGAAGCTGACCAATTGAAGGTCAATCTCCTGAAGGCTGAGGCAGTCACTAAGGCTGCTAAGAAAAAATATCATGAAGCAACTGAAAAGTTAAACAAATTGCTGTCCCAGTTCAAAGCTGCAGATGACATACGCCAAGAAGCGTATGCGCAGTTGCAGAGTTTGAAGAAAGAATCATATGAGAAGGTACATTTATAAACCTTTCTTATCATGTGTAGGAAGATTGTTATCATTTTATCTCTCTCTTACATGCATGTTATCACCCACTCACCCTTGTGTAAACACTGAGAGATGTATATAATCTGACAGAGGCAGTTAGGTTTGCACATGTGTTTTGAAATTTATTCAAATAGTAGAAGCACTGTTTTAAAGTAATGAGGTGTGGAAGTTATTGTAGACCTAGTTTATGATGCATCATGAATTATTAGTGTTTCATCATTTTAATTGTATTTTGTATACTATATGATTACTTTAATGCTGTTTTTGCATTTTTTTTTCTGCTGTATCTGATGATTTGGGGAAGCATTCCTGATGGAACTAAATTGGTTGTTTCTATTTTCTGTTGTGAATCATGTTTAAAGTCATCGAGATACCGCATCTTATCTTCTAGACTTCTTCCTGAGGTTGATTACAATTTCTCTAGTTTTTTGCTTTTTCTGTGCCTCTTCGATATGGCCTTGTTCTGTAGTGTGATAAAACTGCATTTTATGTTCCTGTTCTGATTGAATACTGCTTATGGAAACTAATAATCTGTTTTTTTGCACGATGAAAGTAAAATTATCGATAAAAGATGCTGACCTCTTGCTTGAATTTCGCAGAACAAGTATTTTTGGCAGTACAGGGATGATGCAAAGACAGCAAATGATTTGGCTTTGAAAGGGGATAGAGAGGCACTTCAAAATCTGTGTGTTAACCAGGTGAACCCATGCATTGATTTTAGTTCTTCGATATTAAAATTTCTATAATATTTTTCTAAACAGTTAATGGTTCAGGTGGAGAAATTTATGGACTTATGGAACAACAACGATGAATTCCGTAAAGAATATGTGAGATGCAATGTCAGGAGCACATTAAGGAGACTGAGGACGTTAGATGGCCGTGCACTTGGTCCTGATGAAGAGCCACCTGTAATTCCTCAAGTAGTAGATAATACAGTGGCCAAGGATCATACTGTGTCGAGCCCAACTTTGGAAGAACAAACACAAGAGAAAGTGGCACTTGCAAAATCTGAAAAGGCAAATGACAAACCTGTGGCAAAGGCTGTGGAGCAAAAGAATCAGACAAGTAAATCAGAGAAGTCCTTGAAACCTGTTCCTCTAGCAACTGGTTCAACAATTGCTTCAAGCGGGGATAAAATTGACGAGGCAGGAGAAGAAAAACCGAAGAGAACAAAGGAGGAAGAGGAACTGGCTAGGAAGGCAGAGGAATTGAGAAAGGAAGAGGAAGCAGCTAAATTGAGGGAGCAACACCGGTTAGAGGAGATAACTAAAGCTAAGGAGGCACTAGAAAGGAAAAGGCGAATTGCAGAGAAGGCCCAAGCCAGGGCTGCATTAAGAGCTCAGAAAGAAGCTGAAGAGAAAGAGAAGGTGAATTCCTCTGACGATTCAGTAACATTCTGTTTGGTAGCAATACTTTTTGCTTGTTGCTATACTGATTCAGTGGAATTACCAATTATTCTTTATGCAGGAAAGAGAAAAGAGGGCAAAGAAGAAGGAAAGAAGAAAGCTGGCTGCTACAGCAGCAGGGGATGAAGATGTTACAGATGAAACAGGATTTGCTCCAACTTCTGAAACTCCAGCTGAAACTCCAAAAGAATCTGAAACTAAATACAAACCTGTGACAGTGGCTAAAAGGCATCAAAGGCCATCACAGTTCACAAGGCAGACCAAGGCAAAATCTATTCCCCCTCCTCTTCGCAACCGAGGTAAGAGAAGGATGCAGCCATGGATGTGGGTCCTTCTTACCACTCTGGTTATTTTCGCCTTGTTTTTAATCGGAAACTATAACTTCTCTTTCAACTTCGGGCTGCAATGGTTTAACTTTTAGATATATATATATTGGCTTAATAAGTAGGTAAGTAATCAAGAGAGACTTGGTGGATATCTCCATAGATAGACAATTCTTTTGTGCTCTTCTCAAGGTGTTTCTTTTATTTTTTATTTTTTCTTATTTTTTCCCCTATATTGTTTTCAATGTACTCTAGTGGTCATTCACGTCATTCATTAGATTGGTTTCTGTCAAATTCTAATATGAGGAGAACTTCCATTGGTATTGTTTCAAGTTGGCATGATGATGGTGATATATAATAATAAGTACTGGATTGGTTTTTCTATCCTCCTCTTCCTCCTTCCGATACTCTCTTTCACTTTCATTGGAGTTATTTTATTAAGTTCATTTTATATACACTTGCATGAAACTTTTTTTTAACTCTACACATGGAGTTAAGAAATTGATATATATTTCATTTTTTAATTAATTTTTTAATTTTTTTAATATATTTAAAAAGATATGTCATTCTGCAAATTGGGCTTGTTAAGGATGAAATAATTTTTCTGTTTTTGTGAGAAAATGGGCATCAATGTTTACTCATAACATTGATAAGTTCTTAAAACCATAGCTACTTAGTGCATGTATTGGAAATTTGTCTAGCAAGAAAAAGGTAATAGCAACGTTGATAATTATACATAGTCATCAAAATTATTGTATTATTTTAATGTTTTATATTGCCTACTCAAAAGTGTTTTAATCAAAATGATATTTAGACGATGATTGTTTGTTTGTTTAAGAATCAATATTTATGAATTTTAGACTTATCACGAGTAGAGTGATAAATAAATCTTCAAAAAGTTTTTTGAATCCGAATCCTTGCTAAAAGTTGCTTAAAATTGATTTGAATTCAAAAAAATTAAAATATAAATTCAAAATGATTTGAATTTAAAAAAAAAATCTGAATTTGAATTAAAAAAAAATACTAAAATAATTACATCTTTCATTAAACTTAAAAATCAATATGAATTAATCCGAATCCGAACTCATGGTTTTGAACTTCATACGATTTGAATTCAAAATGACCAATCAAACCCATGATTTATGAAAACAAGTCCATAGAAGCTGATGTTTTAGTATGAAGGTATCAAAAACGTTCACTGGGCTAAGTGCGCTCCAAGTTTCCATCTGTCTTCGAGGGGAGGATGATGATAGATATAGCCAAAAATGCAAAATCAAGTTATCACCAAGCCCTTGCTTTCTCTGTTTCACTCACGTATTTTACAGGTTCTAAATTTCTAGTGCTTGTTATTAACATTATCTTTGACCATCAGCTTCGACCATGTAGTGATTTGGTTGCTTGTGAGGCCAGAGCTAATGCCTTGGCTCTTGTACTTGTCATCATCCACTCCCTCTCCAAGCGACGCTGATGTTGTCTTGCATTCTTTGCACGCTTTGGAGCTAACCGTGTGTCTCTTTCCTCGAAGGCGAGTCTAAATTTTTCTGCGATGGATAACTCGCTGGGACTTGAAAGAGCTTGAGATGTTGCCTTTGGTGCAAACTGACAAATAGACCATGTTTTGGGATCAATTTCCTTCACAATGGGATCATCCAAAGCAACATCAGACAATGCTTCTTTGGGAACTTCAGTTCCTTTAAAACCAAATAGTGATGGCTTCGGATTTACTATTATCCGGGGGCATTCAGTCAACAACATTTCTAATGAGTCTTCATCAATCTTTGGCTGCCAGAAAAGAAGTGACTAGGTGTATAACAAAAACACCAAAGATGAACACAACCAAGAAAGATCAACGGATTGAAAGGATGAAGAGAACTCAAATAAGAAAAAGTCCTCACCCACGCAAGCCAACGCAAAGATTGTGCGCCATGACCAATCTCCATGGTATCAAGCTCCTCCCAAGAGTCTCCCTCCACATCATTCAGCTTTGGCTTCAATAGGCCCAAGCATCTTCGGGCTGTAGCCTCACTCGAAGGGGATCCTCTGCAATATTAACTTTGGTTCAGATCCTGTTATGAAGTGTATGCCCCTAGTCAAACACAAATATCATGCTCCAATTTCGTTGCACATGATTGAAACAGGAAAAAAAAGGGTTGAATGTACCAGGTAGTTGTATTCGCAAAAAGCTTTAGTAAGATAAGTTTCCATATCTTGAAGGTGTGAAAAGTTCAGAAAATTTTAGAATGGAAGTGCCTTTTCATTTTTGCAAACTAGTAAGGTTCGATAAAAATATTTTGTCTACACAAGTCTCATCCGATATGAGATTGGTATTATTTACAATGTTAAAGCTTTCAAGAGAATATAAAAAACTTTGGAACTCGTACTGAATACATATATTTGCATAACTTATAAATTGGAACTCAATTATGCATAGAGCCATAAAACTGATGAGAATTGCATGCTTAAGACCCCTAAACCCTAATGAAAAATGTGCGTGTGGATGAGAGTTTACCCTAATCTCAACGTCTCCAATGAATGGCAGTGCTGCACAAGTTCAGATACACCGTTGGCAGTAATTTTGTTGCATTGGCTGCATAGGAACTGTCTCAGTAATTGATTTATCAATTGATTTAAATGATAATTTCAAAATTTGATACCTTATATCCACAGCACGAAGAGATTTGCACATCTCAGCTACTTTCGCTAAGCCAAAATCCGAAACATCTGACCCAGAAAGGTCAAGAATTTCCCAAGAACTATCGGCTAAGGAGATTATGACATCATCATTCAGTAATTTTCTTCTCCTTGCAATTGCAGCCAACGATATCTGTCATCATTAAGCAATGTGCCTTAGAAGAATACTAAGACAATGTTTCTCAAGCAATCACGCTTTATATCAAATCGGAACATATAATGAAGTAATTCAACAACAAATGAATATAATGCTCCTAAGCATAAAAACTGAACTATAAACCCTAGGCAAACAAATGATAATACATCAATCATCAATAGGTTGGAACTATCAATACAGGCAAACAAATCCTTAAAAATACATCATCTACTCGAAATGATGAAACTATAGCAAAACAAATCCTAACATATCATTGTCACTACATACAACTAGGGATTAACAGATACAATTCAATTTCAACTTAATATAAAATAAAGCAATTCAACAATGAATGAATATAATTCTCCTAAGCATAAAAACTGAACTATAAACCCTAGGGAAACAAATGATAATACATTAATCATCGATATGCCAGAACTATCAAACTATGTAAACAAACCCCTAAAAAATCATCATCTACTCAAAAAGATGAAACTATAGCGAAACAAATCCTAACACAATATCATCACTACATTCAAAATAGGAACATATAATGAAGCAACTCAACAACAAATGAATATAATTCTCCTAAGCATAAACATTGAACTGTAAACCCTAGAGAAACAAATGATAATACATTAAGCATTGATAGGCCAGAACAATCAGCTTAGGCAAACAAATCCTTACAAATTCATAATCTACTCGAAAGGATGAAACCATGGAGAAACAAACCCTAACATATCATTGTCACTACATACAACTAAGGATTAACAGATATAATTCAATTTTACCTTAATACACAATGGAGCAATTCAACAACGAATGAATGTAATTCTCCTAAGCATAAAAATCAAACAATAAACCCTACGGAAACAAATCATAATACATTAATCATCGATACGCCAAAACTACTAACCTATGCAAACAAACCCCTACAAAATCATGATCTACTCAAAAGGATGAAACTATAGCAAAACAAATCCTAACATAATATCATCACTACATTCAAAATCGGAACATATAATTCTCCTAAGCATAAAAATCGAACCATAAACCCTACAGAAACAAATGATGATACATTAAGCATCAATAGGCTGGAACAATCAGCCTAGGCAAACAAATCCTTACAAATTCATCATTGACTCGAAAAGGATGAAACTATGGAGAAACAAACCCTAACATATCATTATCACTACAAGCAACCAAGGATGGACATATATAATCAAATTTCACCTTAATATCCGCAGGAAAATTAACAGCAATTTCACTTAAATCCTCAATAATATCCTCCAAATGCCGACCAACAACTCCAAGGCACAAGCTCACTAAACTAGGAGGTTTCGTCTTCTCAACGCGTAATCCTATCATCAAAAAAGTTGTAGGCTTGTTTATTATTTCAATATAAATTATTAAATTTACATCAATAATTTTCAATTACGAAGAAAATAATGGATTTTTTGATGATAAAATAACATAAAAATTATATAAAAATTAAAATTTTGAGAGAGAAAAGAGATTACTGGAAGAGTGAAGAGAGGGGATCAAATTAGACGATTTGGAGTTTCGATCGAAGTTCAAATCGAGCTTCTTCAACGAGATTTCCACGGCTTGTGGGGCAGATTTTGCTTTCTCCATAAAAAATTTTCTTCTTTTGATCGTTAAATTTTAGACAGAATGAGACGATTTTGACGATTTTCGCTCGTTTTTGAGACAATGAAACGATAGCGGACTTCAAAATGGAATATTTACTAAAAAGCCCAATAAAAAGCAAAAGAAATGGAGGGTTCATTTTGTACTTTCCCTTCTCCAACCACCTTTCAAGTTTAAAAAATCCAAAGGCCGGTCTTTTCCTGTTTATTTACTTTTTTTCCCCAAGCAGAGAGCATAAACTACATCGTTTTGAAGCCTAACAAACAAACAAACCATCCATGGTGAAAGGAGGGCAAAGCTTGCCGGCTGACGTCATCCAAGTAATCGATCAGCTAGATCGCCATTGCTTAGCCCCCGATGGATCTCTCGTCTCCAAATCCGCCTACTACGATCTCCAACTCGTATTATTCTCTATCAAATTCAAAATTTTCTCATAATATGATGAATTTTTTTCTTTTTTATTAAAATTAGGTGATTAATTTCAATTTTCAGGCGAGAGAGGAAATGTCGAGAGAAAGATTACGCTACTTAGAAGCAATGGTAATAATATAATTTAATTTCTTTAATTTTTTTATTGTACATTTGTTATTATTATTTTTTAAAAAAAATAAAAAATTGGTGTTAATTTTTCCAGGCAATTTACTGTGAAGCAATAAGTATGGTGGAAGAGTATCAGCAAGCGGTTTCGGTGGCGAATCTCGGCGGGATTCGAGACCTTCAAGGTCTTTACCCGCAGCTTGGATTGAAGAACTCTCCTCAGGTTTCAAATTATTTTTATCAATTTTTAGTTTTTATTTATTTATTTTTTAGTGTTTGCAATTAAATAGATTGACAATTTGTATATTCATGTCTGGTTTGTTTCGTGTCAAACCATATAAAACACAAAAATTGACATATCAAAATTCGACAAGGGAATACAAAACACATGTTTTGTTTTTGTCAAATATGTACCCTTTTTGTCAAAGTTTTAAATTGTGTTGCTTTAATGCCTTTTTTTTTCTTTTTAAATTTTCGTGACGTGTCATCGTATCATGTCTAAAATTATATGGTCTTACATGAGGAAGTTGTTAGATATTTGATTATATGAATTTCTTTCGGAAGCAAAAAGCGAGTGTAAATGATATTTTTGAAGAGTGAGATAGTAAAAATAGCAAAATGTAGGATTTTACTTTTATATTGAATGCTTAAATTAAAACTAGTGTTACGTTTTAGTCATTTGTTCGATTTTAGTCTGTTGTGATCTTTCATTTTGAGAGTATTTACTACTCCCTTAGAACTACTTTATAAGAAGGAAAAAGAAAATTACAAACAATAAGTTGCGAAAACAATAGGAAAATAGAGTTTTAATAGTTGGGAATTTGATAAACTGCTATGCTATGTGTTTTATGAACTGCAGGTTTATGAGACTCTAGAGCACCGATTGGTTGTTGCAGAAGCGGGTCAAAGAATGAGACTTCCACTTATATCAAAAGATGGGGAAATTCATGAGGAAGAAATTGAGAAATGGAGTATAGTGTCACGGAGTTCACTTGATAGTACTGGTACCAGTCTTACTATCAGCTCGAGTTCAAACTCATTGAGTTATGCAAATAGTTCTGCAACTAGTGGTGCAGCTGCAAATAATGCTGGTGATTTGGGAGAACCTGCTGTTGGCGGTGTGCCTAATCGTTTTCTTGGAATAACACCTGCTTATTTGTGGCAAACTCAACTTCAGCGGCTCCCATTGTCAATGGTATGAAAACTTTGTTTCATGATGGAAGATGGTAGTCTGAAAGCTTTTATTCTAAAAACGTTATTTGAATCTAGGTTCACAAAAGAGGTCCTTGCTTCTGTAGTTATAAGATCTAATCATGTAAACTGGCTGAACGTTCTTACAATAACATGATAAATTTCTAAAATTTTTGTGAATTTGCGATTCTAGGATATGGCTGACTATCAGTTAGCTCTTTCAAGGGAAATTGATGCTCGTTTGAAGTCTAAATGTGACAAGTTAGCTGATGCTTTTGTTGATGATATTGGTAATTTCATGCATCCTTTGCCTTCCTCTCTTCTGTACTTGCGTAATAGTTTATATATGCCCATGGTTTTTACCATGTTGTTCAGAAAGAACTAATCCTTCATATATTCTGTCCCAAAATTCAATATAGGTTTGTGATAACTGTTCATGGATTTGTCGTTCATCATTTTATTGCAAGAGTCAAAAGGCCTAGATTAATGGCAATGAAATTAGAATGTGATCACAAATATTTAAGCTTATTTGCTTTTTGGAACAGTTATGTGCCTAATACTATCATTCTTGTTGTGCTGCAGACTCATCTTCTGGAAATCAAAGTTCAAGTTCTCGGCTTCCTGAAAGGTTTTAGTAACTTACTATACTTCTGATGTGGTTCCGTGTAACTATATGCTTGATGTTGATCATATGTTACTAATATTTCATTTACCAGGGTTAAGTTGATAATTGAGGAGATTGAAAGGGAAGAAGCAGCTTTGCGGGAGGATCTGTATTCTGCAGATAGGAAATTTGCAGAATATTATAATGTACATACTGAGACAGTTTATTTTATTAGGTCTTTTCCTCATATGAGCAATAAGAAAGTTTTCTTCTCTCCTGACATTTTTCATGGATGATATCTTGTTCTGGAACAAGGTTTTTTTACGTGACATGTGATGTAAAACAATTTTCTCTTGACAGGTCCTAGAGCAAATACTTGGAGTGCTCATTAAGCTTGTGAAAGATTTGAAGTTGCAACATCAACATAAATATGTAAGCATTATACACAGTGAGTTCTGTTAATGTTATCCATTGTAAAAGTAAATGACAATATCAGTATTTGTTGCGACTTTCTTTATGTTTTTCATTTTTTCTTCCTTGGACTAATCTCTAAACTTTTCTTTTACAAATTTTGTAGGATGAATTACAGAAGACGTGGCTCTGCAAAAGATGTGAGACCATGAATGCAAAATTAAGGCATGTTGCCGTATTTTACTTGCTATATTTGGATTACTTCGTCTGCCGTCATATTGTTTAGAGTTTCTTTTATTTAATTATTCATTTGTGCTGATTTATTTTCCTGCACACCGCCATACTTCTGCCAATCCTTTGTTATTGCTTGTCATATCTGCATTTATTGTCTCAGGGTGTTGGAGCATGTTCTCTTGCTTGAAACTTATACACAGGAGTCGATACCAGCATTACACAAAATAAGGTATTTCTACGGGTGATGCGTATAATTATCAGTGCAGATTATGGTTTTATATCAGGCTATAACTTTGTCTTCATTTTGTTGCCAGGAAATATCTTCTTGAGGCTACGGAAGAAGCTTCTGCTGCATATAATAAAGCAGTACGTTCCATAATCTATCCTCTAGTTTGGATGTCAATTGTTAGATTAGAATATACAGGGTTTTGAACCACGAGTTTAGTTCAGTTAGTTCGTGTAGCCACTCTTAAAAGGTGGCATTTAGTAGGTCTAGAGCTTGAATCTCAGCACTTGCAATCCTTTTTTCTATCCTAAGCTATGGCCTCCTTGTACAAAAAAAAAAGGGGGAATATACACTGTTTTGCATTACAAATTATGCTTATTTTCGGAATTGTGATTGTAACTCTTGCTCAAAGGGGGGGTTTTTTGCAAAGCCAATTCCTGGCTATTGTTGTTTCGATTTTGGTTGCCATTGTGCTTTTCCAAGTTTTGATGCTTTCTTGTTTCTTGTCATTCTCAATATCAACTTATGTTACAACTTTTTAAACAGGTGACACGCCTGCGTGAGTATCAAGGTGTTGATCCTCACTTCGATACAATTGCAAGGCAGTACCATGATATTGTGAAGGTAACATCAGCTAACAACTGGTTGTCCTTAACTCAAGTTCATTTGACAAACATTAAAATCACCATTTTTTTACAGAAACTGGAAAACATGCAATGGACAATCCACCAAGTCGAGATGGATCTCAAGCGCTTACCAGATCAGGCAAGCACATAACTTTGGGATCCCGTTTGGTTTTACCTGTCAAATTTTTTTGTATTGTACTCAACGATTTCGATCCCCAGCCTTTTGTTTGTGTGCATTTTTTGAGCAAAATTTTAAATGCATTTGATTAATGAATGTTCTTGACTTATATTCGTAATTAATTTTCCGGTTAATAAGCAATGCTCCCCTATTGCTTTGTATTTCATCCATTCTAGAAGCTTTTGCCCCTATCTAGATCGCAAATATCTGCTTGATGGACTTTTAACGAATTATATGAAAATTTTCCTTAAACCCTTTCATGCTCGGGCAACGGAAGGTTTTGAGAGGCCATTCTTGGTGGCAAGATTCCTTTACTCTTTGGTTCTCAAGGCATTTTATTGACCAAGTGCTGCTGTCACGGTCTGTGCCCTGGTCCAGGCCAGGGTTTCATCAGAGGCAGATACGAGTTCTAGTTTGAGTCGAAAATCTAGAGAGACCAAGCACAGATGTGCATCAGAATTCCAGACCACAGTATCAAGCCCCAGCGTTCGGGCTGATTTGGACACTGAAAGAATCTATTTCCGGGTTCAAGATCCGCACATGCTTGGAGTTTGACTCTCAGCCTGTGACATTGGTATGCCCACAAAGTTTCCTCACAGCAAATTAATAGAATTAAAGGTAGAATGATTATGTGATCTTTGTCTGGCCGTGGACAGCATGCAATATTTTTAACAAGTGAAAATCAACATTGATGTGCTCTCAAGGAGTGACTTTAACACTCGTGGAAACCAGAACTGAAAACAAGAAAAAAAACATTAGCAAACTTCAAGCTTAAAACAATCACTCTTCTCCAAGATTCACCGAAAATTGTAAATAAATAGCTACATAAAGCATATAATACATTCGAAATGAAAAACCAAACCAGACAAAGTTGTGTGATGAACACCTACAAGATAATCTTAAAGCCATTGTGCAAAATGTTTGGGAATTTTTAGCTGATTTTTTTGAGTCCAGCCATATATGATTCTAAAAGAGTTGGCCCTGTTGGGTTCCACTTCTCATCATGTCCCGGAACTCCTCATAGTTGATTTTACCATCCTGGAAACAAGACATAAGTGAGAACTGGTGCATCATACTGCAAAGAAAATTGTGTTTCAAAAGGTACAAAAGGGGCTTACATTGTCAGTGTCGACTTCAGATATTATTTCCCTGATTGTTTCATCATCACCCATTCCATATTCTTTCATGGCAGCTTCTAGCTCATCTCTTGTGATATACCTGCAAAAAGTTTCAAACAAGTTATTGATTCCTGTCATATCTGATTTAACGGCTAATTCTGGCCGAAAGAAAAAGAAAAGAATTAATGGTTAATTAAGGGTCTCATATGCACGTTTGGATCAGTTGGCATGATATTGGAGCCGGCATTTGAAAGTTGTGGGTTCAAAGAATTTATGCTCGTAAGGGCTTCAGGGGCAGATTTGGAATTTTAAAAAAAGGATCTCATATTGTTGATATAGTGTGCCCTTTGTTATAAATCATTTGTAATAATCGATGAAAATTAATTCAATGGCTGATCGAGTAATCAAATTAAATTGACTCGATCAGTTAATTCGGTTAAAACTGAATTTGGAACACTCCTAAGCATTTATGCCCACCAAACAATTGCAAATATCAACACACCAAGACTAGATCAAATATGGCAATGGCCGATTGAGTAATCAAATTAAATCGACTCAATCAGTTAATTCGGTTAAAACTGAATTTTGAATGCTCCTAAGCATTTACATCCACGCAAAAATCAACACACCAAGACTAGAACAAATATGGCACTGCCTTTCTAATTTCCAACAAATATGATGTCTGGCCAGCTCTGGTGATGGAGAATTGCAAGGAAAAATGACAGTATAATTATCTTCAGGGTCAAGACAGAAAACTCACCCGCTGTTGTCCTTATCAAAATGTTGAAAAGCTTTGAACAAATGTTCATCTGTCTCAAGCCTATGTCTATGCATTGTAGCAGTGATAAATTCAATGTAATCAATAGTACCATTTCCATCCACATCAGCCTGCAACATAAAACCAATGTTAATACGTATGATGTAAATAAAAAAGATCTACATGATACGTAAATACTATCTTACAGCTTCCATCAGCTGCTGAACTTCAGCCTCTGTGAGCTTTGATCCAAGTCGAGCCAATCCAGTCTTAAGTTCATCATAGGTGATTGAACCACTGTTGTCAGTGTCAATGTTCGCAAACATTTGCTTCAGACCTTGGATTTCTTCTGTAGAAAGATTTTCTGCGATGACCTATAACCCACCAATCTTGTTATTAGATGCAGAGGAAACAAATGATGTAGCAGGGTGTACGGAAAACAAGAAAATTTCCAGGAAAATTTTAGTCAGGCACCCCTAAAATATCCTCAAGACACTTTTTTCATCAATAAAATTGATAAATCCATCAGCAATTTTTATATATATTATTAGTGGATACCCTCGAAAAAAAATCTTAAATCCACTATTGATTAGATGGCAAGTAAAGTTGCTCAAGGTGAATTACGTATAACCAATGAAATAACTGGAGACTGCAAAATGACTTGCTGGTTTGCTATTATATATCAAACAACATAAATCAAACAACTTCAGAAAACAGTGATACCATATAAATAAATTTTAACCTACCTTTAAGGCAAGTTGTTTTAGTTTGTTCATTCTTCTGAATTGCTTCATTCTAGAAAGGACTGCACTATCTAGTGGCTTGTCTGATGCACTTCCACCTTCTCTTATCCATGGATGCTCTGCATAAACCACAGAATTTCAATCTTTGAGTTGGGCTTGACATGAACTATAGTAACTCATAAGCCAAGCATGACATGGTAGAATAAGCACAAACACACACACACACACACACACACACACACACACATATATAGAATGTAATTTTGCACCTTCACAACCGATTTTCCTCTAACACATACACGTGATGGAATGCCAGGATGCATAGCTGATGAAGAGATTAACTACTGTAAATAAGTACCTAGGACTTGAGTAGAAGTAATCCGCTTTTTTGGGTCTTGTGTTAACATCCTCCGGACTAGGTCTTTGGCACTGTCTGAAATAGATGGCCATGGTGAACTTTGAAAGTCAATTTCTCCTTCCAATATAGCATCAAATATCCCCTTCTCTGTTTCTGTGAGGGAAAAACATTCATTAAATTATTTACTACCATTGAGGTGGCAGTTTTGAAGCCAATTTAGTGAAGTGCCAGCTAGAGGTTTTGGCTGTTGATGGTATTATTTTCCTTGAGCAAGCTTTAAACTTTTACCTGCCCAAAATGGAGGCACACCACTGAGTAAGATATACAATATAACTCCTGCACTCCAAATATCGATTTCCTTTCCATATCTACGCCGTAATACTTCAGGGGCAACATAGTATGCACTCCCAACTATATCCCGGTACACCTTTCCTGCCAAAGGTACCAAGAACAGTCAGAAAAGAATGCTACTGCTTATATTACTTATGAATGTACACGACAATTTCTAAAAAATGAGGACACAGATACACCAGGACATCACAATAAAACAATATATTTTTTTATATATTATAATCATTAGTTAAGAATATATGGTAGATATTGGACTGATTTTTAAAAGCTAAAGGCCCTTGTGAAAAAATGCTGATGATAGACATGACAATAAAAGAACATATGGTGTTATCATCCACACGAGAATTGTTTTTTTCTTCTTTTTTCTTCTTCTTTGTCGTATCCAGCCAAGTTTAACACGTATTTTGACGTGTCTCAACCATCAAAGTGTCGGAGACAGATATGACATGGATACACAATGGGTTTAGAAGTATCTGGGCTTCATAGTTGCCATGCATAATACATGTTATTTTGGATATGTGAAAGCATGTATCCATATTTTATTTGTGTTTGTAGACACCCACACACATATATGCAAGTTTATACTCAATTAGAATTTGTAGAAACACTACAAACATCATGCCTCTTGCTTAAATTAATGCTTAAAGCTATGCAATTTGACACAGTTATAGAAGTCTAATGCCATCATCAACATAAATGCAATTTACTCTTCTGAGTCAGTTTACAGGAAATTGAGAAAATAGATGCTAAACCAGAATATCTGAGTTGCCCTTCCTTTTTGCGTAGTTGAAGCTTATTCAATGCTAAATATAGTATGAAGATAGAGTCACAATACCATATACAATTTAACTAAATTGTGAATGAACATGCAGACAATGAATTGAAAGTGGTCCAAACAAACTGGGGAATAAGCAGCTGGTTAAGACATAAGACCAATGAACAATTTATTTATTTATTTTTATATTTGAGGTTACCAGCCTTTGAACCCTGATCGCGGAAGTCAGAGTCGAGCACTCTACCGTGTGGCTGTTGGCCACCAATTAACAAATTACATGTACATAGAATAAACATCCACAGGCAGAACATACTGAAACAATAGGAATATGCATAAATTTTACTGCAAATTAAACCCAATAATGTAATGTGCAAATGACCAAATATAAAGGGTGACAAGAATTTACCCTCTTCAATGAAGACTGACAACCCAAAATCTGTGGCCTTCAAAAGAGCATTCTCATCCTTGCTAGACAACAGGAAATTCTCGGGCTTAAGGTCCCTATGCATCACACCCATAAAATGACAAGCATGGACAACATTCACAATGGCCCTGCATATGGAAGCAGCTGCCCTCTCACTATAATGCCCCTTGGCAATAATCCTATCAAACAACTCACCACCGGCACATAATTCCATTACAAGGTGAACAGATTGCTTATCTTCATAAGCGCCTTTAAACTCTACAATATTAGGCTGTCCACTCAAATGCTGCATAATTTGTATTTCCCTTTTCATATCCTCCTTATCATTCTTTGTAACTAACTTCCTCTTAGATATAGTCTTGCAAGCATATTTATTTCCAGTTGAATTCTCAGTGCAAAGATAAGTTACACCAAACTGACCTTTTCCCAATTCTTTACCAATTGTATAGTGCATCCTTATATCTTCATATGGTTTACCAAGAATTGTATCAATCCTGGGGGCAGGCTTGGGGCTTGGTGCTGGAGCAACTGGCTTCCGAGGTGGTTGAGAACCTGGCTTTTCAGGGATGTGGTGGAATTGTGGTTGAGCAGGTGCAGGCCTAACAGGCTCCTGATATCTTTGTTGAGGCACAGCAGCTGTAGTTCCTGCTCCTGATCTGTAGCCGTTATGCTGTGGCTTCGAGTCTTTGCTTTTTGCCAGGCAACCACCCATCTGGTTTTACTTGTAACAGATAAGTTACAAAGACTGAAAAAAAAAAAGCTGAATTTGGATTGAAAGAAAAAGACCCAGATGAAGAAACTGAAAGAAAATTAAGAAATTAGATCAGAATTCAGTGATTTAATAGAATTGAGGCAGAAAGAAGAAAAAAAACCAGATTCAAACAGTACATAAAAAAAAAGGTGATGCCTTCTACATTGACACAAAAGAAAAGCCAAAACCAAGATGGGGCCTTGGGAATATGCTAATGGGATGTGATGAAAAAGGATCCAACTTTAATAAGGGAAACAAAAAGTAGATCAAAATTTCTGGCTTTAACAAGATGGGGAGGCTATGACTATTGCGACAAGCAAAGGGCAGAACTGCGAGGTTGGGCTTGCCGGTTTGGTCAACTATGGAGTCTATGTTTGAAACATTGAATTTTTTATAGGACCAAATAGAGAGAGAATCTTCTTGGCGAGGGACAGCAAAGAGCAACCAATGCAACAAACCTGTCATGGAACATGTTAAAAAAAAAAAACTAACTAAACATGCATCCGCTATCTGCTGTCTTAGATGATTTTCTTATAATAATTTTTTAAGATAATGCATGTATATGATCTATAAAGAGATTTTAAAGAAAAATTAAAAAAAAAAACAGAATAAATTTAATATTTTTAATTTAAAATCACCTCAAATTTAATTTTAACCACTAAAATTAAAAATTCAATACTTTACTAATTCCCTGGAAGCAAATCATATTAAGTTTTATGAAAAATGTTAAGTGATTCTTATTGATAATGATTGACGGATATGTAGAGAAATAATTTTTTTAATGTATTATTTTTTCTTGAATTTAATAAAAATAATCTACATTAAATGGAAAACAGAATCCCTAAGTTATGAACTTTGTGATTAGAAAAGGGTGCACTTCCAATTTTTTTAGAATTTTTTATTCTCTAAAGTTGAGATATTTGGTTGGATAAACTTTTTCTTTTTGTCTTCACTTGTTAAAAAAATGAAATGTTAATTCATCGACAACAACTACATCCCTATCACCAAAAGAAAAAGTATTTTTCACATATTTATTGCAAAATTTTAACATAATTTTTTAATTAATAAAATATTTTTTTCTTAAATTAAAATATTTATCTCTGAAAAACGTGCCATAACCAACAAAAAGATGACAAAAATAGGACGGCTGAGATTTAAGATCATCAAAGTATGTGAATTTTTTAGCCACAAAGATAACCATACAAGCTATCAATGAAGAACTCACACGTGGCAAAAAGGGTTTACGTCAAAGTTTGTGCTAGAGTTGATTTTGAAATTGGTTCAATTTAATTTGGATTTCTTTTGTAAATAACTAGTTTGGATTGCCAAATTGTGTTGGAATTAACACGGTTTTGTTAAACCAAAATCCAATTTTCAAAAACAAATCAAATGACGCCAAGAAAATTTGAGCAAAAAGGAATTGTACAACATACGTTTCTTTTTTTTTTTTCTTTACATTTCTTATTATATATCTTTCCAAGAAGGAACAAAAATTGAAGCTTTTGATTTGGGCTAAAAGATAAACACAAATTATTGGTGAAAGAAAACATGAAAAGAATCTCCTAATTAAGAAGCAAACATAACTTGCAAGGAAAATTCTCTATTTTAGAAGTTTGTACTCTTTAATATAGCTTTTTCTCTAACCTTTTTGGATGTATATGTGAGTTTTTTAATTTAATAATTTATGTTTTTATCATATTTATTTTATATTAAATGTTTATAAAATTATTGTATTATAATTAAAATCGATATATCAAATACAAAATATATATTTTTTATTGTTATCAAATTTATTCATTAATAATAATAAATTAAACTTTTTATTTCATAAATTTGAAATTAATTGTATCAAATTTATGTATAATTTTTATAAAAATTTTAAATCATATTATTTTTATATTTTTTTGTATTATATAATTATATCGTGTTTTAAATTATAATATAATTTTTTCTCTTTAGATAATTTCTTTATTTTCTAATTCATATTTGGTTTATATTTTCTAAAATTTTTGAAAAGTGAAGTTGATGGGCGAAGCCCAATGGTCCCAAGAGAGTTACCTTTAAAATTCATTTTTTTTTTTTTTGGTATAGGAACCTAGGCCCACTAAGTGATGGTTGCATGATTTTATTAATAATAAAAAGACTATTTCAGGCCATAGATTAGGACCTGAACAACCAAAACCAGCCATTTATGCTGTGGGAAATTATTAAAATTTAAGGACTTTATTTTAATTAATAAGCTACCAATAAAGAATGAAGACTCCTTAGAAGAAATTATATCCTTGGCTCAACATTTATAGAATAACACAAAGGAGTTTTTTTATTTATTTATTTTTTCCTTTTACCAAGTAGATCAGCATGAAATACTAACTATATTTGTGATCCCATGTCAAAGATCAAGCAAATAATATAAAAGCAACAGGATTCTAACAAGATTGATGAATATATATACAAGAAATGAGCTTGTATATATATATATATATATATATTATTTTTTAAATTATTACTGAAGTTTAAATTTGAAATTTTTTATTCTAAAATCGATCTAAGTATTAATAATTCTCGTATTTTTATTTTATTTTCTTCTAATGGTCAATATGATCACATCAAACCAAACAATCAATCCAAAGAACTAATTTTGTTGGTGAGCCAAGAAAATTGGTACACCTAAATTGTTTTGATAATTGATAATCATGTTTGGGAGGGCTAACCTAAATGATTAATTAATTTCTTTAAACAATTCATTATTAGGTTATTATAAATAGTTTTAAAGCTGCTTAATTTGATTTAATTGCCTTTGGTCAAAAGACCATAAGTTGTTGCATTTCCCATTCGAAAATAGTCATTGATGGTTCTACTCTTTTTGCTTGCCACTCCAACCCAATTTTGTAAATTGTAATTTTTTTTTAATTCGTGACAAAGAGATTTGAACATTGTTTTTGAAAAAAATGATTATGTTAATAAATTCAAAAATTAATTCGATTGGTTCATACAATCACTTTTAAAAAATGTCATTCAACAAATCTAGAGTAAAAATTTTTACATTTGCAATCCCTTGTTCTATTTGCAAATATGAAATCTTACGCAAAAAGAAATTGTATCAATCATTAAACTAAATGGGATCTTGTGATGAGCTAATTTGTGGATGTCGGCTAATTTTATTTGAACAAGAATGTAAATTCGCTTAATTGCTGCTAAAATTTAAGCAAAAAGCTGCCATTTCATTTATTAACAGTAAGTGAGGCAGTCTATTTTTCCTCTGAATTTTTCTTGCTCTGAGACAAATTATTGAAAACTGGAACTTTTTAAATTTGTAAACTGCAAGGAAATCGACTAGCTCATTGAATCGACAAGGAAAGGGCATGGTGGAGTAGGAACCTGGACAGCACCATCGAGCATCATTGTAACAATCCTCATAGATGGCCTCAACAATGGATTTTCTTGTACACACCAAATTGCCACTTTTAATAACATCTCCAATTTCCCCACATCACTTCCAGCCTCTTCATCATTTTCCACCAGCTTTTCAACTATGCCTTCTCTGTAGCATTCGAATGCCCATTCTGTTAATATTGTTGCTTCCTCCATCTCAACTTCAACACATCTTCTGCGACAAATGATCTCTAACAGCATGACTCCAAAACTGTAAACATCTACCTTCACTGTGACTGGGGTGTTTCTGAACCACTCTGGTGCCACATACCCTTTAGTCCCTCTTATGCCGGTCAGAGTTCGAGTGTTGTTGTTGATCAGAAGCTTTGACAACCCAAAATCAGATATTTTGGCAGTAAAAGAATCATCCAATAGTATATTTTGTGGCTTTATGTCACAGTGGATGATTTGTGTGTTGCATTCTTCATGCAAGTATGTGAGGCCTTTCGCAATCCCTGATGCAATTTGCAGTCTTCGTTGCCAACTTGGCCTTAGCACTCCAAAAAGGAAGCTAGCCAATGAACCATTTTGCATAAACTCATAGACCAGCAGTCTATTTTCACCTTCATCACAATAGCCAAGTAGTCTCACCAAATTCTTGTGGTGAGTTTGGCCAATGACCTTCACTTCTGTTTTAAATTCCTTTTCACCCTCTTTAGCAAACTTTTCTAATTTCTTGACTGCAACATAATTTCCATAACTTGATGGCAATTCTCCTTTGTAAACCGTACCAAAAGCACCCCTTCCTAGTTCTTCTTTGAATCTGTTTGTGGCTTGTTCCAGATCTTTGTATGTGAAAGAACGTAGATTAGTCTCTAAATCTCTTCCGCTAGGAATACCGTCTAAGTATCGAAGTCTTCTTTGATATAAACACAAGAAGATCAGAGAAATTGCAGCTAAAGAAAAGAAGTTGAAAATTGCAGAGGTGCCTAAGAGAACTGAAAGGATCAAAATAACTTGATTCCGATTTTCAATGCTTGGTTTTGTAGTGGCTTGGTTTGTCCTAGAGGCATTTGACTTTGGTACCTTAAATAGAGCTGTTCTAGCTATATTATCTCTGTCAAACCACCCACTTGAAAGTGGTAATTTCTTTTTCCAACAAGTTCCAATGCCATTTTCAGTTAAAGTTGGATCCTGTAAAATGGCAACTGCACAAGAACAGTCAAGAAGGCAAGATTGCTTACATTCCAACTCAGTTGCAGGTTTCAATATCCCATAGTCACTGAAAGGAAAATCAGCAAATGACATTGGCTTGAAATCAAAGCGATCTTCCCCATTAGTGGATCCGTCCGGATTGCAATCTTCAGGGTAGCTTGTGTAATCCGGTTTGCAGCCCGTGTATGGATTATTTTCATCCAAGAAAGAAAATCCAGGGGGACATGTGCAATTAGGCCTCCTATCATTGATAAGTTCACAAATACTGTTATAACCACAAGGGCCATTTCCGAATGTAGCTGTTCCGTCTACAAAGCTACGACAGATGTCCCTAGGCCTGAACCACAAGACAGACCAGCTTTCACCGCCACTGGGGTTCCTTGGATAAGAATAGAGAGTAAAAACTCCATAAAAATCAAGGGTTGCCCTGTAGTAGTTTGAGTCTGGTCTTGGAACAGCATTTTCTGGTGCAAGTTTGCGTGGACTTCCAGTTGAATTCTGGATTTGGATATGCCCTGACTTGTTGAAGATCAACCGAGAACCCGTTTCAAAACTTGAATAATTATTGTAAGGTTTTCCGGTGAACATATCTATTTGATTAAGTATGAGAGATCCTTTATCGAAACGAAGTTGATATTTCCCCTTATTGTAACTTGTTTCATCCAGGGCTGATAAAAGATTGCCATCAAAATCCAATTCTTGAGTCGGTAAGATGGTATCAGTTGGATATTTGAAGCTTTCCCATATGTTGGCTGAGTTGTTGCTAGCTATCACAAAATTCCCTGTATCAAGCATGGCTGCGTGTGACACTTGAGAATCATTTGTGAGGCTTTGGGACCTCCACAACTCTTTGTCTTTAGGATCTTTAAGCACAAGATGTCCGGTCCTGGTGAGCTCAACCTTTGAATCTTTATCAGTTGCTGGATTCTCTCTATTAGCATACCATACTATAGTTCTTTCCGGGATCTTAGCATACCAGATCGCAAGAACGAAC